AGCTTGGAGAGTAAGTATATATTCTTATGTCCAACAGTGTTATAAAAATCCTCGGAGAATTGCAGTAAGATTTCTTTAATCATTTCTACGATACGACGGTGGAAAACTTAATCTAACAGTTGAGCAATGTTGCTGTTACACGATCCGAACAATTTTGCTGTTTCACCCGGTATATAACATCCTGTCTTTAACATTTTCTGTTTTATTCGCGCTAAACATTTTACAGTTTTCAGTGTCGATCTAAATAGAGAGAAGAATAAAAACAGGTTTCTCTTTCTTTCTCCTCTTTTTTTTTTATTTACCTATTTAAGATAACTAAAATTTTTTTGTTATCATTTCCTGTTATTTGATCTTAATATGTTCATTTTATTGCACTTATTTAATTTTGTACGACGTTGGAAAAAAAAAAAATTCAAATTTAGTTTATCTTTCTGAGGTAAGCGATCATGGCTCATTACAGATCATTGTCCCTTGTTGTCAGTGAATAGTCAAGACTTTTTGTGAAACGTAAAATTTGTTTCCTGTTGCTTTCTAGGATTTTGAATTCAAAATTTTACTTCACTTCCATTAGCTGAAAACCTACATAAGAGAGTTTAGGATAGTCCGTTATTAATCGATCGCCGGGAATAAAAGTTATGGATTCATGCCTTTTCCAAAGGTATTAATGCGACGGTGATCACAGCAGACTATACCTGAATTTGAAATCTGTTCGTCGATTCCAATTTCCAACTTGAAGGTCATTATGCAACCTGTACATTCTGGATATCGTTTAGTGTAAATTTCAGATGGTTCATATAGACATGTATGAAATTTATTGAGTCACTCTCGTACATCCAGGCCTACAACGTGAACAATTTTGATTCCCTTTGACCGACTATAAATTTTCCGTTTGAATAATGCAACCTGAATCAGAAACTTAATCCCATTCATCACGGCTTTATTTGGCAAACCAGTACAATACACTGTCTCTGAAACCTGTCTTCTTCATCTTAATTCTTTTTATTTGCTTATCCCATTATTTTAATCAACTGTTTCTTTCTAATTCTCTTAGAATTCTTTCTTTCTAGGCCGATAGATATTTTTGGCGTTGTTGGACAATACATCAAAATAAGGAGTAACTCCTCCGCAAGTGAAAAGAGTAAGAACTTATGAAATTAATTTACTAGTAGATTCACAACAGATGAATGAATCTTCACAAGATCATAACAACAAACCACCCAGTGAGGATCAAAATAATTTATAATGGCTGGCAGAGCGAACCTGTTAACAAATGGACTACGACTGACACCTCGCTGTATTTATGATTTTTCTTTTAAAATATCATATCCATCGGAGATTCGACTTCAAATTCCAGTCAGGTCCATTACATCCACTTAGGTGCTAATACCATAGAGAAAGGGATGAATCCTGTCCTTCCCACCCACACCAGTTATGGGTAAATAGCAGGACAGACTGGATTCTATAGCCTTGCGTGGCAACCGGTCTAGGAGAAGGAAAAAACTCTAAATTCAAAACCGGCCTGGAGAGAGTAGGGCTTCGTCAGTCAATCTTGCCCAAGAAAGGCCACTTCTACTGCGGCTGCAGTACTTGTGGTGCCACTACGACCCTACGGGTCATGGGATTAGATAGTGCATTCAGCATCTACATCATTATTTGCGTGTTCCTTTTGAATATGAGCGAAATACTAACATTTCTTGGCAAATTTGTGTAATGATTTCCTTCTACGCGGTTTTGAATGCAGAGTTTTCATCTGCTAGTAAGGTTACCAGCCAATGCTCTAAAGCCAAGACTAATCGTCTATTTAAGGATAGAGAAATATTCGATACGTGTTTTCTTAACCCTGCGTTAGTCACTAGGGATTTCCGAAAATGGATAGTCCCTGGAGTGTTTACACACCCCAATACAAAAATTGCTTATAGCATTATAATTATTTCCCCCGCATGAGGTGACCGAAGAACGCGTGGTCGGTCGGCCGGCCGGGCGTTGTGCGTCCGCTCGTTGAGGCGTACCTGTCTCTGCGTAAGTGATAGCGAAATAGAATTTCACAAAACTAAGGGAACTTGTCAGTTTGTCGTATGTTGTACTGCTGAAAAAAAAATACAATAAAATAACACGCAATCATCATTACAATATATATTAACTCAAAACTCGAACTAACGATATAATTATTCATTGAAATGTAATTAAAATAAATTTGTTGAGTAAACATTCGTTGTAAATTGTAGATGAAACAAATACAATAACAGAGAAAAGTTTTATTCATCAAAAATTTTCACAATATATTTCCATGAAGAGAAAGATACTACATTAG